AAAATTTTTTTTTATGTGCTTGCTACACATCAACAGAAGAATAAATGCACAAAAAAAGGTTTAAAATAAATACATCTCAAAATTTGGGAGGCCATATAATAGTTTCTTAACTTGCAAAATCATTATTTTGTCTGCTCTATAATTCTCATTTAGCATATATAAATCACCCAAAAATTACTTTCATTCAGAAAAACATAGCATTTAATTGGAACTGCAACAGAAAATTTAGATGAACACTATACAGGGAAAAGCTCAAAGGAGTGTATCTCCTTTTGCCTGGGATTTGAAGCTTATTTTTAAAAACACTTTGAACCCCAGGGACAGAAAATAATACCAAACCATGTATAATAGGAACCACAATCCAAGCATGCTAAAGAGTACTTCCTTTTCTGTTTAGAGACCAACACAATAAGCCTCCAGCAGGTTGCATGTAATAAGTTTAAATTTCTCCTCAAAAGCACAAACTGCACTGAAGATATATTCTCCATCTATTCTGTCACCAATGTTGAAGAACAAAATAATTTTCGAAACATTATACAACTATAAATGGATTCTGATTAATATTAACCGCACATATTGTTTGAGATTTAACTTGTGTTCCGTTATTCACAAAATGGAAGATCTTGTTCTATTTTCATCTATTTCCAAACAATCTTACAGAATCACTTGATCAATTTCCAACTTTGTAAACAGCATTAAAACCCTTGTAGATAAACATGCTACAATTACAGCATATTTTCATAACTGCACTGCTTGAGAAAAGTCTATATGGCCATAAAATAGGAAAATACATCAATTGGCATGTTTAAAAAGATCCTTAAAACTTCTCCTCCCAACCTTTCTAAAAATACTATACACTTCTGACACATAAGGCTTCTTCTAGAATTTCAAACAAGGACAGATAAACATCAATGAACACAAGGAAGTTTGAACTGTCTGTAGTAGCTCAAATTAGAACTTGAGACTTCAAGATGGAAAACTACCATTCTAGAATTCAGGCTCATGAAACAGGCACATTTAAAATAATTGTAATTAAATACTCAGTTTTAATGAATTATTTGCAAACCATTCTGAAATGCTTAGATAATAATACTGTGTTCATGTGCATAACAAAGCTCAACCAATTCTCTTTTGTGGATGATGGGGAGAGACTAAACAAAACTTCGAACAATGTTCAAGCATAAATACTTCCAGCATAACACATGATATCAGACTTTGTCCTCAAAAAATAATTCCGACACTTGTAAAGATTCAGATCTAAATAACCTAAAAAAAAGTAAGACATTTTCAACTTATGTATTTGTGCCAAATGAAATATTACTTGAAAAGAAAGGGAGCAGATTATAAAATAATATCATTTGCATTATGGAAGGTGTATATATTCTTTCAACAAACAATTTCCTCAGTTAAAAGCAAATTGATTATTGAAAAAAAGTAGCTTACCGAGAACAAGGAATATCCACCAGAGCCAATACTGACCGTTGAAATGACCGTTGAAATAATCAGAAAACTGAAAGAGAAAAATAGGTTACAAAATATTCACACAGACAACACTGAGGATTTGCTTTCCACTTTTTGTAATAAGTTCTGGTATAATGCTTAAAATGGACACAGTACTGAAAATGTTGAAAAAGTTAAAATTAAGTCATTTGGTGGCATGTTGCATGGTAGGACCAAGCTTTCTCAGTTTTCACATAGCATCATTTGAGAAAGGAAAAGAAAAGCACTTTTTGTTATCTTAAGAAAAGATATTGCAATTCTAGGGCTTTCAAAGTGCAGTTAGCATGAAAAGAAAACGCAATCGCTTGAAGGAGGATTTCATTACTGTGGACAAACTTGGAGCATTACACGCAAGTGTGATACAAAACTAATACCATGAATCTGTAAATGGCAGCTAGTTAAAACACAATCCTAAGGTTCTCCAATAGAGATTTAATAATTTATATTCCCCCCATTAAAATATAATATTTTATAGTTAATGTTACTTTGCCAGTACCTTTCCCATGTTGTTTAAACAAGAGATGACTAGCAACAAACGTCCCCCAGTAAAAATATAGAAACAATGCATTCAAATAAAATTTGGTTAATGTGCACCAGTGTTTCCTGGTGTCGCTGCATGCAGCCAACATTACAGATGTGTTGCCTTCAGCTCCAATGATTTCATCCACAGAAATGATCGGTGCCATAAGATCACAGATCCATGAAGAGGATGTACAAATGTTTTGCTATAATCTGTAACTCCTTTTGTTATTGAAATGATAGCCAGTCAGCTTTCTTGCTTTACCTTATTGTTACTACCTGCATAACATAACTGGACAGCCAGAAACAAAATCAAATCTTTAAAACAAGAATACAGCATTCTACTGTTCTTGGTATTAACACCATATCCATATTAGTATACTGGTGTCAGGGTGGGATGTTACAAAAACCTCCTGAAAGAACAGCGTTTGACCTCAAGCTCCCTGCTGACAAACAGCAAGGGATACCAGTGCCATAAAGGCCTCAAACTCAATAAAGTCTTACTTTTCAAACTAGACACTCCAGGATTCAACTCCCAGCAGATTTCAACATGGCTAAAATGAACTTGAAGACAGAATTTCAATTCTTCTTGTTAATGGCTGTGCTGTGATGATTTGACTCTTCACGAAATGAGGAACCCTGAAAGGCCATTTGAGCATAGGTCTGTAACGGAAGAGAACAGATACTGTGCCTTCCTAGGAACCAGACCATAAGCATCAATATTCAAAAGGAAACATGTTAATCAGATACCGTATTGCAGATCTACAAGATAAAGGTTCAGAAAAACGGGTGCATCTATTGCAGGAATCCTTCCTGGCAAACTGTTAAACACCTGCACTCAAATGTGGAGTTCTGAAAATCCTCGCTGTTCACCAAGATGTAAATGGTGCTGTTTTACAAAACCAGATGGGAAAGTCATCCAACTGCCATTTAAATGATTCAGCAGTATTTTGGGGTTCAGTAGGAGGAAAGGATGTGTCTCCAAGTCTGTGGCAGAGATTCAATGAGGGATTGGATAAGAGGATAGAAAATGTCTGAATTAGTTATTGTAATCAGGTTTGCAGAGACAGATGAGTTAGGAAGTTTTCAGCCTTCCAAAGTGTGGAGAAGGAGTGGGTCTAAGAGATTGGTTCAAGGCTGGAAGTGAGAGAGAATTTTCGGAGGCAGAAGTGAGGTCAGAGATCTCAGGCCCAGGAGTACTGAGATTGTGTTAAGTACTTTCCATTCATCTTCAAAGTAGTGCTTAGTATTGATTTTGTGCAGGTGGATCAGCACTGACACTCATGATCTCAGAGTAATTCAAGGTTGCTGCAGAGACTAAGAATATTCTTAAAGCCCTTATTTTCATAGAACAAATGCCTACTTCAAGCACAGGTAAAAGATCCTTCTTGTTCAGCCTTTACTTAAATGGTGTTGACCAAGATTTAAGACACAATGTGTGCCCACGAATCAGATTCATTTCAGTACGTGAAGAGTACCCATATTCCCCAAACAAACCAAAATTTTGACCCAAATGTAATTCACATTTTTATTATGCATTCATTTACATTTTCTGCTAAGGATCTTCAAATTATTTTACTCCTAAATTTCCTATACAACCACTTTATTTAAATGCAACCACAGGAGTTCGTCAGACTCCTTATAGTAATATTACATTTTATTATGTACCAAAAGCTGCTACTGGAGTACCATAACATTAAAGTATCATTAAATGAAAAAAAAAATACAGAACTAAGGCAACTGTAGCCACTTGTGAAACTGAACAAACAAACCAAGTGTGATCCATAAAGTCTAACCCAAGATTTTACTGACAACACTGGAAATTATTTTCTGTTCTGCCATGCATCTTAAAACAAGCAAGTATCTTGACATTTCATTTTTCCAATGAAACTGAGTAAGTCCCCTTAAGTAATAGCTGTCATGTACTTTAAGCTGTTTCCCTAGAAGCAATCTATGAAACAAAAGTGCAATATATCTTTATCATCCAAACATTTCAATAACAACTGAGTTTCAATGGAGTTTGTAGTACATTCTAAAAACATCACAAAAATGAACAACCTTCTTCTGTCACGCCTCACTGGGGAGGTGCATGAGAAAACAGGCCCTCTATTCCTAGTGTCATCAGACGTTAAAAATATCATGAAAGTAAGGAAAATTCCTCAATTTACCTTTCTTTTTAGACTCAGGTTGAGAGAAAGAATGTACTAGGTTTCAGTACTTAACAAGAATTACTTTTTATTACAACTAAATAGATTCTAGCTCCAGGTAAACAGTTCTAGACCGTCAATATATAATTCTACTATTTAGAACTTTAACGGCTTTATAAAATTCCCCCAAACATTCATGTAAACAGACACAAAACAAACTGTGTTAAGGGTGGAGTGAAAAACTGGGAAGGCCACTCAATGGTTTCTGTCCGCAAGGTTCACTGAGATGATCCTTTTAGATTGTGTGTACTCGCTACTTTCAATCTCTCTTCTCCAGACATTTTCTTGCTTGCAGGAGGTACAGAATGACTGGTTCACAACTTATAAAGTCTCTGATTATTGTTTAAAAGCCACAGCTTACACCAATGGGGCAACAAAAATAAACTAACTGTCTTAAAGCTTTAGGTACTTGAAAAAAATTTCACAGTGAGAGAGAGACAGAAAGACCAAGAGAGATAAACAGACAGAGAGACCACTTCTCTGAAGGCTTCTGGTTATCTCGCTCACAACCACAAGTTGTTCAGTTACCTGTTTTTGGCAAACTGAATGACCTTGTCATCATTACGAAGACTGTTCAGCTTTTTTCCCTCAGGCTGAAATCCACTTTGTACATACACCCTTGGTGCTAGTCCTTTCCATAACCTGCCTTCACTGTTGCAACAAGCAACAGTATAAACAGCACTTACAATAAGCATTGATAGCTTGCTTTTAAAAAAGTGCAGCAATTCCTTCCACTGTCCTTGGCTTTTAAAACAGTGTTTTTTTTCAGTTTCAGTCCACAAAATTACAGAAAAATAAAGATATAAAGGCTTGTCTCTTTGAGCCTTATCAGATATTAATCGCTATCATTTCACATGGAGTTGATGTGCAAGGCCTCCAGATGTATCAAAACAAGAATCAGTTTAACCTTTATTATACCAGATAATGGAACAAGAGATTGGATGATTTAGAATGTAGTGTACTAGACGTCTCCTCAAAGGATGACATCTCTTCAAGGCAGAGAATCTTAACTCAGCATCCTATGAATCCTACTAAGCACATAGAAGAGGGAAACTTGTCAAAAACAGCAGGCACACTAGGTACAAACATAATAAACACAAACAGAAACCAGCCAGCTGGTCTATTAAATTTTTCCCATTCAGTGATGTTGCAAATTAAGCAACACAATAACATCACTTCTTCCACTATATGATGGGACCAGAAATAAACACAGCATTCTAGATGAGACAAGAGGGTAAGTCAATTTGTAGTGGGTTATTTCAATAAACATCCAAATCTCAAATTTCTTTGTGTGCACTGCACTCTTTATGAACTGACAAAAACACAAGGGAAAACTCTAGTGTCAGGTGAAGATGTAAAGTCGCAATTTTTGACAACTGATACTTCAATTTCATTATTCTGGTATCCATGACACAAACATTTGAATTCATGTGGGTAAAATGAAGCTGAACAGAGGCAGCTTCAAATTCACAATGGACAGATATGGGGTTCTAATTAGAGTCCAAAAGAGGCCTTTCAGGATTTAATTTTCAAATGTCCTTCAGGAAGTGAGAGACTGAAGAATGGATTTTAGTCTCCAGGTAACAAGACACTGCAGATATTTAATAATAAGCTTTGTACAAAAGAAACAACTGATGAACCAGAGATGAAAACCAACGCAGAAACAACTTAGTTCTATATTGTAAGGTTCACGGATACTTCGCAAAGGTACTAAACAGAGCTGATAAGCGACAGTTGTCTCGTATTCACACTTCAACACGTGGGTGGAACTTCCTGAAGATATAAAATACAATTTTAAAGTTCAAACAGGTGTGCTTTGTTGGGTGGGTGTTAGACCAGAACACATGATGTCATAATGTTACTACCACTCGACTGGTAATCCAGAGACTTAGGGACTGAATTCTCATCAATGTACTGAAGCATATGGTCCATGAGTGCATTAGAAGAACTGACTATCACATTGTTCCTGTGGAGACAAAGTTCTGTGGTCACATTGAGGATATCCTTCCTAATGTTTTGTGGAGCTACCACCATCTGCTTGGGATACATTTTAAAACAGATCTGGAAACTAAACGAAGTACGTGCTGCGATCTTTGTGAACCTGCAGTAAAATGTGCATTTCGGATAACCATGAGTCTGCCACAGCAGAGGATATAATCCATTTTTCAACAATGTTAGCCTTTCATTAGCACTAGAAGATAGGCAAACTGGTCAACTTGATGATTGGTGTTGAGCAGAACACTGCATTGGTTACTATACAGACAGCATGTTAATTTGTGTACTTAAACAGGCATCATCTGGGGGTGGTGAGAATGCCCCAAGTGTCAAATGATAGCAAAACAAGCTATAAAATCAGAAAGTGAGAAAAAGTAGAAATATACTCAGCATGTGCCAAGGTCTGTGAGAGTTGCAACAAGCTATACATATCAGAGATCTCAGGTTCAATGCATGGTGTGTGTTAAGTGAGTTGATTTCAATTGGGTCAGCAATTGAGACATTATAATTAGTTCCCCATTCCTGGCCATGATCCAATGACTTATATTGACTTAAATTGTTGTCTGAGAAAATTCAGATTTGACTGTAATGCTCTCCATAATGTAACAGTCTTGCTAACACTTATTATCGAGACTTTGATATGGTGAATAGTTACTTGAACTAAACAGCAGAGACCCATGCAATTACACCTCAACATGTCAGTACCTAAATAAATGGGCAACAAAAGCCTGTATGATGAGCAGCAGAAAGGGAAATGTGAATGGAATCCCTCAAAAATGCTTGAGAAAATTCCAGGTATCAGTCAGAGAAAATCACCCACTTACAGAATGAACTGAATTTGTGGGAAGTTGCTCCTCCAATTGCAGACTGTTCCTTATGTAGTTGCTGCTGCTGATAGGTTCACTAGCGACTGAAGGAAAAAATGAGCAGTTAGGAAAGTGAGTGGTGGTAGTGAAGGAATTGCTAGGGGACCTTTACCCCTTGGCTGGATCTTTTGCCCTTTGACTTGTTGTTGAATCTGCCTGTTTCCTTGTGTCAACTTCAATGCTGTCGTGTCTAGGACATCAATATTTTCTCTGTGTTGTACTCTTCAGTTTAACAGAAGAGTGCTCGTTATTGAGATATCAGTGAATTTTCAAATTCTGCTTCTAAGAGTTTATAAATACCCAACATGTCAAAACAAGTACAATATTATTACTACGTGATGTTATCATTTATGAGTTAGTAAGAATGACAGAGGAATTCTCCTTAAATCAAAACATAGCTTTGAGAAAATCTCAAGAGGAGCCATCAAAAGAAACAATTATTTTTCACCCCTGATGTGGAAACGATATCAATACTAGAATAAAAGGGTAACTACCCTTCACATTATTCCTTCAGAATGTAATCCAATGTTAGTTCAACACCAGCAGAAACATGTAGCTGATGGCAAACAAAGGCAGATACATGCAAAACAGTCACCATATATGTGAGAAGAAACTGCTCACACATGTATATACCCAAAACAGTACCAACATCGTTGATACAGTTAGGAAACTTACTACGAAGCACCTACTTGAGTTAACAAGAAATAACTGTAAAGTAATAATATTACTGTATGAATAATCTGGGACTGCACAAAAAATCTAGAGAGTAACAGGTTAAAACTCACCACATCAGAATGTGCACTGAATTTAGTACTAAAAAAATACCTGCAAGTAAAAGGCCGGTATCTGTAAAAATGACAAAGTTATCAGATTAATATAAAAAGAAAGATTAATCAATAAAATGACTTAAGGAAGGAAATCTTTACTTAGCAAGGCCAGAACTGCAGCAACATGGTTGAGACTTAACCCTGTGAAATAAGCCAGCAAGACATTCAGGTGTATCAAACTGTGACAGAGGTTTTATCCATATCACAAGATTGGAAGAAAAAGATTGGTATAAACAAAAATGCTGCAACACAATCAAAACAGCAAGACAAGCCTTTTTTTGATATTTGATGGAGCAATAAAATATTCAGTTCTGTATATACCCCTGTTATTTGAGTAGATGATGACTGAAATTTAGAATATGTCTTCAACAAACCATGAAAACCTGACAACTTCCTTTGGCTCTAAAATGTTACTTCAATGAAATTTGTAAAAATACTGTAATTGTAAAAAAAAACTTTTATCACTACTTTTGAATTGTTAATTTTATTGCTAGCACCTACTTCAGTGAGATGAGTATTAATCCACTTTATAACTGTGGTGTACTCAAATTATAATATATTTTAATCCTGATTATACATGTTCGTAAACGTAAATCTTTGGGCTTCCCTGAACTACAGGGTTCTTCTTCTCCAATCACAGAGATACTTTGTAAAATGTAAGTAAATTTACTAACTGTAACTTACATTACATTCAGAAATTTCAATCTCCATAGTCATTAATAAAACCCTCAGCAATTCCTAAAAGATACATTTTGACTTGACATCAAAAATTTTTATACCTTCCACAACACTGCCATCCATTGCTGGAATTCTGTAACTGCTGTCATCAGATCTTGGCCTTCTGAAAATTATGGCATTTACTGCCAGAATTCGACAGCTGCTTACTTTGCAGTATCACTACTCCTGGACAGTGGTGACCATGAAAACAGGGTCCTGTTCCTTTTGCAGCTATTTGTACTGATCCACAACTAAGTTTGATTTCATCAACTGGGGAGACAATGGCCTAGTGGTCTTATCACTGGACTGTCAATCCGGAGACCCAGACAACGTTCTAGGACCTGGGATCAAATCCCGCTGTGGCAGATGCTGGAAATTGAATTGAATAAAATATCTGGAGTTAGGAATCTAATGATGACCATGAATCCATTGTCGATTGTCGGAAAAACCCATCTGGTTCGCTGATGTCCTTTAGGGAAGGAAACTGCCATCCTTACCTGGTCTGGCCTACATGTGACTCCAGACCTACAAGCAATGTGGTTGACTCTGAACTGCCCTCTGGGTAATTAGGGATGGGCAATAAATACTGCCTAGCAGCAATGCCCTCATCCCGTGAATGAATAAGGGAAAAAAATCACGGTTTTTGTCACATGCTCAACCTTTCATCATTCTTTCCACAATCTCTGACATTATTTGGAAATTATGACTACAATTTTTCACATTGGATCACATAAACCTTGACTTTTTTTTTGTCTGTTCATGGCATTGCAAGCAAGGTCAGCATTTACTGCCCATCCCAAACTGCCATTGGGAAGGTGGCAGTCACCCTCTTGAACTGACACAGTCCACTGAGCACAGGTACTCCACCAGTTCTGTTTGGCAAGACATTGACCCAGTGATACCAAACAGACAGTGATAATAGTTCCAAGACCAGATGTGTGTGATTTTTTAAAATACATTCATGGAAATATTATATCACTGTCTTAGACATATTGCCCATTCCTACCTATCCTTGAGCAAGTGGTGGTGAGTTGCCATTTTGAACTGTTGCAGTCCCAGCGGTGGAGGTACACCCAGTGTTGTTAGAGAGGAGGTTCCAGGAATTTGACATATCCTGGAACGGATCCTGCAGCCAGTGATGTTCCTGCATTTCTGCTGCCCTTGTTCTTCTTGGTAGCATAAGTTGAAAGTGTGGAAGGTGGTGTTGATTGAGTCTTGGCAAGCTGTTTTCATAGATGATACACATTGTAGCCACTGTTTACTAGTGGTGGATGGGTGCCAACAAACAGACTTTTTCATCTTTGATGTGGATGAGCTTCTTGATTGGTGTGGGAGCCATAATCATCCAGGCAAGTGGAAAGTGTTCCACCATGGTCCTAATCTGTGCCAGGTAGATGGGAGGTTAGACTTCGAGAGTCAGAAAGTGAATTGTTCACTGCAGACTTCACAACTTGCGTTTCACTCATGTAGCCAAAGTAAGTATATGGTTGGTGCAGTCAATTTCTACTCAACAGTAACCCCAGCGATGCTGATGGTGGGCTTTTCAGCAATGGTGTCACAGAACGTCAAAGGAAGAAAATTAGATTCTCTTTTGTTGAAGAATTGTCTGGCACGAGTATTACTTGCCACTTATCAGCCCGTAGCTGTATACTCTTCCAGTCCATTGCACTCAGGCATGGACTGCTTCAGTATTTCAGGAGATCAAATGATACAAAATACTATGCAATCAGCAAACAACCTGACTTCCTAATGGAGAGAAGGTCATTGATAACGTAGTTAAAAATGCACAAAAAATTTTATTGAAGCACTCATTGAGGACAAATCATAAAAAATGCCAAATTAAACAGAAAACATTTATACTCCATGAGGGCATAATGATAATTGTTTGCCAACCGTCTCTGATTGGTAGATTGCCATGGAGAAGGCTCCATTCCACGACAACTGACCATTCTAAACAAGGCAGGTTGATTCTGCCTTGAAAAATAAACCAGAGAATGGTTGTCACCCATTCTGTTGAGTTGAAACAGGTGCAGTGTGTGTACATGTTCTTTCTTTCTACAAAGAGGGCTTTGTGTATTAAGCACTGCATTAATTGCTCTATCAGCACCTTCCTTTCATATAGTATAAACGTTATTTTCTGTTAATTGTACTATTTGTAGTGAATTGTCCTGACGAATGTAAGATGAAACATATATTATTTCAGCAATACACCAGTTCTGTGCTACTAAACACTGGAAAATATTTGCGCATAGAACACCACCCTAACAAACCCATGCATTAATGTTTTTGAGCTCAGATGAATGGCTCTCAGAAATCACAAGCATCTTCTTTTACGGCAAGTATGACCCTAGACAGTGGAGAGATTTCACCTCCCACTTGTTTCCCATTGACTTCAATGCTATTAGGACTCCATCAAAGCACAATTAGTCTATTGCTGCCTTCGTGTCAAGCAGTCACTCTCACCTTATCCTAAAATTGAAGTGTCATTTTCATAACCTGGAGTGCTGACCAAAAACACAGAACTTAACCCTCAGTTGGACAGAAATATTCAGATTGAACACCATTTCAGAGCAAGTTATAAAGGGAAGAGCTGTGTGATCAGCATTAAACTAAAGAAAACACACAGTAGGAAATGAAAAAAAAACTATTGAAAGGTTCATCAAACAGGTAGACGGATGGCAAGGTAAACTGCTTCAAATTATTTTTCCAGGCACAACTTTTTTTTTAAAAAGACCAAAATTTTGTAACAGCAGTATTGATCTTATATACACACATGAAACAAAATAATCTAATTCCTCTTACCCGTACAATCAGGATCCATTTTATCAGAGACAATCCAAACCCACAAATTGCACCATAACGGCCTGCTATGGTATTGGTGAGGCAGAATGACAAACAAAAGCCAATCCAATTAAACAGGAATGCCACTGGAGAAACAAAATAAATACTTGTAAGTCTTCAATATTTTGGCACAAGTACAAACCCTGCCCAAATACCTTCTGAAATGTAACATTCTTTCATGCTAAATGAATTAGTTAAGCCTTTTCTTTTTGCTGAGGACACCTATTCTTCAAAAATAGGCACACAGCTTCAATTCTATTTCACTTTGAGGATCTGTGCTCGTGTTCACATCAGGCCTGTTTCCAGATCTCTCTCATTGTCCACACTGGCAAGTCACTGATCTAATTCAGCAACGCTATTCCATGAAGTTAAGTGACAATTGATTATCACCATGCTGGATAATGACATTTTATAAAAAAGCAGAAGGCTTCTTGTGCTGCAGTGGTAGTGTTCCGACCTCTCAGCCAGGAGGCTCAAGTTCAAGTCTCATCTGCTCCAGAGGTGTGTAGTAACATCCTCGAATAGTGTGATTAGGAAGTATCTATTTTTAAAAGTAGAACATTTGTAGTACTAATGCTTGACTGATATCAGTAAACTACAGGTTTAATAGAAAACCAGGTTGGAAAATGCAAGAATTAGCATTTATTATCAATTAATTTACTTTTAATTTAATATAAACTGTCTTTGCCATTCTACAATGAACCCAAAAGTACCATATTAATTTTCACAGTAAATATATGGCACCATAGTAATGTTTAAGGATATTCCTCTTTCACATTGTTCTGTTTATAATTTTCTGTTTCTAATTCTTATCCATTATTTTTCTGAATCTTGCGTCTATCATTTCATATTTGAATTTGTTTCCACTTGCTCTGTACATCTTTCAATTTTTTCCACTGTTTTACAGTTTCTGCCTTTGCAAGAAAAGCACCAGGAATCATTGACATCTATCTTAAAGTCCTGAAGAACGTGAGACCAAATGGAGGTGATTGGTTCGTGCTTTGTTAACATCCAAGCAACTGCCACCATTCCATCAATCTGGAGGGAGGGTAAAGTCATTGCCATCCTCAAGCCAGGGAAACCTGCAGCAGATGCAGCCAGTTATTGACCACATTTCTATTTACTTCTTACAGATCGTTTGTCTCTCCTCTTGGCCAGACTCCCTGAGGTGGAGCCCAACCTCTCTAAGGATTAAACTAGTTTCAAACTTGGTAGGAGCTGTGTTGACAAAGTTGACCATTTACCATCTACATTGATATTTGTTACTAACAAATGATCAGACTGCTGCTGCATTCATCAACCTTTCATCAATAAGTGACAAAACGAGACAGCACGGTCTTCTGTTGAAAGCTACTAATGCCAGGCAATAATGCACGTCCTTTCTTCGATGCTTAGTAATTGGAGACATAACAAGGATTATCAATGATTGATTTCCCCAAAATATTGTTTTAAATGCAATCTTTTAAACATCCACGTGAGGAACGTGCCTCACACCACTTATAAGAGGGATGCCTTTGCAGATAATTTGACCCTTGCTGTCAAGGTAATCAACATGGTGGATCTCAGCAGCATCTTGTCCAGTGACTTAAAAGTGATGAAGCAATATTTCAATTACTGGTATCTCTGCCCAAACAGAAATGAGACAACAACCATTACTTTCCATTGGCAGCAATATCCAGGTCTTTTTGCAGAAAACCAAGCAGGAATGAACCATACTCCAAGCAACTTGGAGTCACCAAACACTGCAGCTTCACATACTGGAAACATTTGAAAAGGGCGGCAGAAAGACCAGCTGAGGATCAATTGTGGATTGACAGCAACCCCAAAGGATGGTTGGAAAATGTCTTCATTGCATGAATTCAAATAATCAGAGGTACAAAAGAATTAACAGTGTACAATAACTTCGTCCTGTCTAATAGTTGGCCCCTTGATGTGCTCCTGAAAGTAAAAATGGTGAAAACATCTGACTGCATTGCCAATCCATGAAGATATTTAAGACCTCAGGATTGGACTGATAAATGACATTTTCAGCAAACGCCAGGCAATGGCCATGTTCAACAAGAGAAGTTTAATCATGTCTCCTTAACATTCAATGACATTAACCATGTAAAACTCCGCCAATATCAATACCAATGCTCACTTTACCCACTCTTTTCCTTTCTAAAGTACCTGCAGAAACTCTTCCTATCTTGTTATATTTTAAGCTGGTTTTCTCTCCTACTCTAATTTCTCCCTCTGAGTAACCTTTTAGTCATTATTTATTGCTCTGTATATTCTGCTGAATTTTCTGACCTGTCCCTCATTACTGAGGAAATACGTATTTTTCTTACAATCTGCTGCTATCTTCAAATTTCTTAGATAACCAGAGAAGGATCATCGTTCCCTTTAAGTCCTTCTTTCTCACCAGAATGTAGCTTTTCCAATTATGAACATACAAATACACAAGTATTTGAACTACTGAATTAGGAACAGAGGCAGGCCATTTGGCCCCTTAAGCCTGCCTGCCATTCAATAAGATCATGATCTGTTTGTGACTCCCAACTCCAAATTCCTGTGTGTTTCTGATAAGATTTCATCCCCTGCTTAACAAGAATCAATCCACCTAAAAATATTCAATGACTCTGCTTCCACCACTTTTTCGGAAGGGAGGTCTAAAGACCCGCAACCCTCAGAGAAGTATTTAAAATATTTATCAACCTCTACATATATTCAAAAACTGAGATTCCACAGCCCTCTGGGGAAGAGATTTCCAAAGACATTACATCCAAGTAAAATAATTCTCATCTAGTTCTTAATTGGCATCTCCCTTATTAAAATTTGTGTCCTGTGGCTCTACACTACCCAACCAGGGGAAACATTGTATGTGCATCTAGCCCGTCAATCCTTTTAAATGTGTGTAGATTTCAATGAGATTGCCTGTCGTTCTTAAAACTCTAGGGAGTACAGGCCCAGTTTGCCCAAACTCTCTTCATAGGACAGTCCCGTCAACCCAGTAATAAGTCTGGTAAACATTTGTTGTACTCCCTCTATGGCAATAATATACTCTGAGATAAGGAGACCAAAATGGCAAACATTACTACTAGTGTGGGCTAACCATGCTTCTAATCAATTGAAGCAAAATTTCATGACTCCTGTACACAAAAGTTCTTGAAATAAAGGCATTCAATTAGCTTTCCTAAAAGTTAGCCTTATTGACAAAAATACCCAAGTCCCTTTGCACATCTACACTTTCCAACCTCTCAGGATTTAAGAAATACTCCGCACGTCTGTTCTTCTGGCCAAATAGATAACCTCACATGTTTCCGCGTTATATTCCATCCGCCATACACCTGCCTAATCACTAAGCCTGCCCAAAAACTCCTGAAAAACACACAATATCATCCTCACAACACACATTACTACTTAGGTTTGTATCATCTGCAAATTTGGAAAATTACATTTGGTCCCCTCCCCAAATCATTGATTATACGATGGAAACATCTGGGGCTCCAAGTACCTTAAACTAATTTCCCAGCTTACTTTAGATAGCCCTGTCTTCATGTCCACATCATTGCCCCTATTTAAGTTTAAAACAGTAGCTTTATATTCACCTTTCCCACCTCACTAAACCCCCAAAACTGAATGTGAATTTTCATCATATTAAGGTCACTGTTACCTACGGACACCATTTTTAACGGGGTCATGAATTAATCCCGTCTCTATTGCACAGTACCAGATCTAGTATAGTTTGCTTTCTTGTTTGTTCTACATAATATGCTCTTGAAAAAAATGGGTCCTGAAAACATACTATGACTCATCATCCAGGATAACTTTGGCAATCTGACTAGATCAATATACATGCAGGTTAAAATCACCCATGATTATTATGTACCTTTCTCATGAGGCCCCATTATTTTATTATGTACAACCATCCTATGGTGTAGTTAATGTTAGATAGTTTAAGAAGAACTCCCCCAAGTGATTTCTTACCTCCACTACTTCTCATCTTTCTCTCTCTCTCTGTTGCACTAATGTCATCCTCAATTAACAGACCTATTCCTCTACCATTCCTTCTGCAACACTTCAATATTCAGAACCCAGACTTTGTTATCTTGAGGCTATGTCTCTAATGGCAATCAGATCATATACAGTTAATACTGATTTACAGTGCAAATAATCTGTTTTATTATGAATGCCATGTTCATTCAGATACACAGTCTTTAGTTCTGTCTTTTAACTTTTTGAACCTCAGATTTTATCTGCTGGTATACCCTTAGGTTCACACTTTTGTCTCTTCCTGTTACACTTTGACCACTGGATTCTCCTCTTCCACTATAATTTCTCTTCAGCCCAGAACACTCGTCCCAAACCTTGGCACTGGATAGACCACACGGTCGTCTAGGACCGCATTCTTCAGCTGCAAAAGAACTATTTCTATCTCCTCGACAATGCTATTCCCTTTTACCATAGCTTTTAGATTAATTGTCTCCTCTTGAGTGACTTCCTGTACTGCGGTACCATGATCAATTCATGCATCACCCTGCAACCACTGCTTTTATCCGTCAGGGCTGCAAGAACCTTGAATCTGTTAAAAAATTAAAAAGACACAGGCTCCTCCAATTCTACATTCTGGGTCATGTTATATGCTTCACCTACAGTCATACACTCTGTCCCTAACCACAGAAAAATTTCAGCTGATCATACCACAAGGCAGCCACACCATTGCAACCAATGTGTCCTGGTAACTTTTACTTCCATGATAGGTCAGTGAGAATAACTTGGTCTCCAGGTCAAATTTGGAACGCATAAAGCTGCAGATGTGCGTGCCCTGGATCACACTGGTATCCAGGAATTCTCATATCCTGCAGTTACAGCAAATCACCTTTCCTGCCATCTTTATTATGAGATAATTACTTTGGTTTTTACTTAATTATAACTTAGTTAATAAACCATGCTACTCCCACTAAGCTTTATTATGATCAGTAAACTTTACCAATACTAATAAGTTCTTAAAACGACTGATAAATTTCCTGAATTTCAAAAGATAAATGAACAAAATAATCACTAAACACAACTGTTTTCTTATGATGTTACTTTTAAATTAAAC